CTCATATGGTAAGCTTCTTCAGGAAGATTATTTACAACGGAGCACTAAATGAACATCCATAATATAATATATTTATAACACATACCACAATTAGCACTACTTTTATGACTATATCTCATTTGGGATGATACCACAGTCATATAACTATAATTTTTTTCACCAAAGTCATATAACATATTTTCTATGACTTTTTTTTATCAAAGTCACATAATTATGTTTTCTCATACAAAAATCATTAAACTTGTACTAACTCACACAAAAATCATAAGTATCAAAAATATAATTTTTAATAGTATTTTCTTATTTTGTGATTTTTTATTTTTTACTTTCAGTCTAATAAATGATAATTCAATTAAAATATGAATGACTCAATCCGACCTGGTCCACCCCACCTGATATTCATATATATAAATTAAAATAATACTAAAATTGAATAGTAAATCCTTCAAAACATGATACTTCTATCTTTTAATTTTCTTTTCAAGATTTTTATACAAATTGATAGCATTTTTATTTCAAATGCTCTCTAATTATGCCTTTTATTTCTTTATTTTTCTGTCAGAATCTCATGCATTCCGAATTAATTTTTTTTTATGGGGGAAGAATTCACTTTTAGTTTTATTTTAATTTAAGTATATGGGTATTGAGTGAGGGTGGATTGGGTCATTCCTATTTTAAAGAAAAAAAATATAAAATTAACCGGACGGCCAAAACTAATTGCAGTTGCTAACTAATATATATATAGATTGTGTATGTTATATGTGTACAATACACACATATATAATATTTTATCGGCTATTATTTTTAGGAGCGGCTAAAAATATACTCCTATTTCTTCTATTTTAATTTGGTAATTATTTATTAGACCAAAAATTTAAAAGAAATAAGAAAATACTACCGAAAAATTTATTTTTCGATCACTATGATTTTTGTGTGAGTTAGTGAAAGCTTTATGATTTTTGTGTGAGAAAATAAAATTAAATGACTTTGGTGAAAAAAGTCAAAATTATATAATTTTTGTGTGAGAAAATAAAGTGATATGACTTCGGTGAAAAAAACTCATAGTTATATGAAATCTACCCCTAATTGTGCACATCTAATATGGAACGATATTTAGTGCCACAGCTAATTTCAATTTTGTAGATGTCAACCAATCATCAACATGGTGACTTTTGTTTCAAAAAATTTAAAATTCGCTTTAATATATTTTTTTTGCAAAATTGTTTCAACCAGATATTAAGAATGTAAAGTTACTTAGTTTTTAAAAAATTTCTTACTTGGTGTTTGGTTGAAAAACAATTTTCACAGAAAATAAAATAAAAAATTAATTGAAACTTTTCTGATAATGGTAAGGCAAACGCCAAAGTCATTCAGGGACGATCGTAATTAGGATTAAGAGCCCGTTTGGATTGGTTTAAAAAAATTGGTTTTAAGCAACTTTCAAGTATTGAAGCTTATTTTATAAATAAGCAGTTATCTGTTTGGATAAAAGTGCTGAAATTTAAAAAAAGTTGCTGAAGTATCTATTAAAAAGACAAAAATATCCTTAAAGCTGTTAACATTATAAAGGAGATGATTACTACAATATATTTAATTATGAATTAATGCAAATAAAAAATAATTTATATTTTAATTTAATTGATTACTTTAGATAATTTTTATAAATATAATTCTTGAATGTTCATTTTTCACCACTTTCAATCAAGTAAACTTTCATAAAAATCTTAACCTATTTGAAATACCAGCTAATGTTTTTACTCTACAATTACAAATATCAAGTTTTACAAATTTCATTAGCAATCAAATCATGAATTCCATTTCTCCATTACCACCCGACAATACATAACAATTACAAGCTAGAAAACATACACATAATGTAAGCCACGTCAATCCTCAATGTATATATTAAAACCAATACAAAGATAAGAAATTAGTATTGTTCTATAATGCATATAATAATAAAATCATAATAACTGAAGCTTACACACAATGAGCAATTCGACGAAACAATAACTGAAGCTTACACATAATATTTTGTGTCATGTTTGTTCTTTTGTCCTAAGAGATTTAGGAAACACATTATGCATTTAAAATTGACATTGAGTGAATATAATTGGGTGTGATGCTTGAGGAAAGTGCAGAAAATGAAAGATGAAACAGAGAGCAAGAGAAACGAAGAGGAACAACTGAAGTGAAGGAAATAAGAGAAGTAGATGTTTTAGGGTTTGTTTGACTGAGAGTAATTTTGGTATTATAAAAACTTATAATGGACAAGAAAATAATTTTATTGGTCAAACTAAAATGGCTTTTAAGCCAAAATCAAAAAAGTTGAGGTTAGCCAACTTGTTGCTTTTGGCTTTTTTAAACATATTTTAACTTTTTTAAAGCAGTTTTTTTTGCCAAACACTCCATAAAATAAAAAAGTGTTTAAAAACTAGTTTGATCAACTTTTAAACCCATCCAAACACCCTCTAAACCATGACATGACTTAGCTTCCGTTTGGCTATAGATTTTTGGTTATTTTTTTTAAAAATAATTTATTCATGAAATTTGATCGTTTTTTTTTAATTTCTTTTTAAGTTTTCAAAACCTAATTTAGGGCATTTTTTGGTGAAACTTTTACTTTCATGGACAAACGTTAATTTTTTTTTATAAATAAAACACATGTCAAAATACAACTTCAACTATTAACACAATTTCAAAAATTATCTTTTTAAATTTCAATCAAATTTATGTTCAAACACTGCTTAGAAAATTTATTAATTACTAAGCCAACTATTGGGGTTAAGGTTAGGTGACACTTCAAACTAATAAAGAATTTAATTTATATATATTTATAGTGTAATTTTTTATACAGTCAGATTACCCAAAATTATTTATATGTAACTCTTTATAATAAGTGAAGTTTAAAATTTTAAAAATAAGATAGATTAATATATTCAACAGCAACAAACCAATACAATTTCACACGTGGGGTATGAGGAGGGTAATGTCTACACAGACCTTACCTCGTTCCTTGTGAAGGAAAAAAGATTGTTTCCGATAGACCATAAGCTCAAGAACAGTGAAAAGGACACAATAAATAAACAGTAACAATGACAATGAAATAAGATAACATAAACAAATAGCACAACATGTAATAACAAAGAAACTAGGAATATGGAGCTATAAGAGAAATGCAAAAACTACCGGCAATAATGCCACATCGTCTAACAACAAGGAACTCGGAATAGGAGAATACAAAACTAGTACTAATACTACTAGTACGACTAGAAGAGACTCGCGACTACCTGTCAACCCACAACCTTAATCCTCGACATTCACACTTCCTTATCGAGGATCATGTACTCGGTAAGCTGAAGTAGTGTCACGTCCTGCCTAATAATCTCTCCACAGTACTTCCTATGCCTCCATCTACCTCTCTAACCCGCCATGGTCAACCTCTCACATCTCCTCACCGGGGTATCAGTGTCTCTCCTCTTCATATGCCCGAACCAACTCAGCCTCGATTCCCGCAACTTATATTCCATAGGGGCCACACCCATTTTGTCCCTAATAACTTCATTCCTAATCTAGTCTTTCCTGGTATGCCCACACATCCATCTCAACATTCTCATCTCTGCTACTTTCATCTCCTGGACATGAGATTTCTTGACTGGCCAACACTCGGCTCCATGCAACATAGTCGACATAACTACCATTTGTAGAATTTGTCCTTAAGTCTTGGTGGCACAATCCTATCACACAAAACACCAGATACAAGTCTCCATTTTATCCACCCCGCTCCAACACGATGCGTAACATCCTCGTCAATCTCCCCGTTCCTCTAAATAGCATACCCAAGATATTTGAAACTCTCTCTCTCTTGGAGATGATTTGTGTATCAAGCTTCACCTCCAATGAACTTGCACTCCAAGTATTCAGTTTTTGTCATACTCAACTTGAAACCTTTAGACTCCAGGGTCTGCCTCCACAGCTCCAGCCGATCGTTAACCATACAGCGCGTGCCATCGATTAACACTATGTCATCTGCAAATAACATACACCATGACACATCCCCTTGAATGTGGTGCGTCAACACGTCCATCGCTAGGGCAAATAAAAATGGGCTAAGAGCTGAACCATGATGTAACCCCATCATCACAGGAAAATAGTCCGAGTCTCCTCCCACAATCCTCATCCGAGTATTCGCTCCGTCGTACATATTCTTAATCACCCTAATGTAAGCTACCGGAACACTACTAACCTTCAGACATCTCCATAGAACCTTCCTTGGGACTTTATCGTAAGCTTTTTCTAAATCAATGAACACCATATGCAAGTCCCTCTTCCTCTCCCGATACTGTTCCATCAACCTCCTCACAAGATGAATGACTTCTGTGGTCGAACGCCCCGACATGCAACCGAACTGATTCTCCGAAATAGACACACTCCTCCTCACCCTCCTCTCAACCATCCTCTGCCGCACTTTCATAGTGTGACTCAGTAGCTTGATATTCATGTAGTTGTTACAATTTTGGATATCACCTTTATTCTTGTACAATGGGACCACCAAACTCCACATCCATTAATTAGATTAATATATTCGAGTATATAAATTAAACTCATATTTAACTTGGTGGATGATTCTTTGCAGATTCTTTTTTCAAATTCTAAGTAGATTGATCGCTTATAAACATGATTATGCTTAAGTTAGAGAAGATTTAATAGCAAGTCCGGCCTTAGGACCCCGCAGATTAAGAAACGCATTTAAGAAACCTTGAGCGCTCCACTTGGTAGTAATTTTAACACATTGCGTACACTATCTTCCAATATGTGGGACCCAATCGGACTCAACCCCCCCAAACGGATAAAGCTAGCTGAAAAAGAAAGTCCGCGCTGGACCCACCGAACCCCCGCGCCCTCTCTTATCTCATCCCTCCAAAGCACTGAACCAAACCTAGTTTCCTCACACGTGTTTCCAATCCGTTGGTTCGGACTCTGGTTCGGTTGTACGCTTCTCTACTTCTAGTACTTGTTTTCTGCTACTTTCCACTGCTTCCTACTCTCTCATCTTCTTCCTTTTGGACGACGAAGAGTGATCATTAAGATGATCGAGACTTCAAGGTTCAACTTTTACTTTTTTTTTATTAAATTTATTATTTCAAAAATATAATTCATTATCTGGTGTAGAGTTGATCATCTGCTGTTGATTTTTTGTTCTTTCTATTATTTCTATTATATGCTGTTAATATAAATATAAATATTTTTTCGCTTTGGGAGTTTGAATAGTGGCGAGTTTTCATTGAGGGAATATAATCTTTTGTGAGTTTTGCTCTAATATTGTGGGTTTTCGGTTAGTTCTAATGTAATTTCTTTAAATTTTTACGTATTTGTTTTCACGATTTTTTCTGTTAGTTTTGATGGAATTTCTTGTTCTTTGCGTCTCTGACCTGCGCTTAGTATGTATTTTAGGTGAATTTACCATAACTTGTCTACTATTTTTAACTGTATAGTGTTCCTTTATTAATTAACTGGATTTTAGTCCACGACGTATGTTTTCCTCTCTTTTTTTTTCTAATTATTTTTTGCGAGATGTTTCCCTTGGACTAATCATCCGTTCAAAAATCTAAATTAGAAGGTAAGGAAGGAAAAAGGGAAAGAAAGAGTTCAATCCACGCTGAGAAGTGTTGTTGCCTTCAATGTTTTGAGAATTTTCTTAATAGGTTTTAAAAGAGAGTTCAATCCACACTTAAGAATCTTTTTTATTATTGGGTGACGGAAAAAGTTTGCGACTTGCTTATATTTTTTCAATTATTAGCGGCTTTGTGAAACTGGTATGATACTCGCTGTGCCCTATGCTCTCATATATAAGTATTTGAACTGATGTTGTATTTCATGAACGGTAAACATTTTTTTAATAGAAATATTGTGGTTGTACCATATTCTTCTTTTTAGTGTGTATTGGAGGTTCTCTCAGAGAGAGACGAAGTAGTGCGGATAGTTTTTTTTTGAGGTGTTGGATATGGCCACCATTTTCCTTTTTAGAAGATGTTTCCTGCTTCACGAGTTTCCAAATAAGCAACTACTTGCTTTTATGTGGTATAATATAACTTCGGGCTTAACATATATGGTTATTTTGCAGTTACACGCATTGGTCTGAGTGCTCTCTTAATGTCTTAAGGTTCTTCCTTGTGTTCTGTGAGAGTGCCCCTCTAGTATGGTTTCCTTGCTTCTTTGGCATTTTCTATGATTGTAGCTCTTGGGATCCTCATCTATTGTTGTGTCATCATGTATGCTATTGCTGAAAAAGGATCATATTTCGCTAGGTCCTTGAAAGCTATTTGTCTGTTTTAGGTACTTATAGTGTGAGAAATAAAATTCCGCTGTATCATATCGGTAAAAGATAAAACAGGAAGAATAAGTCCCTCTGTTTTAGCAAATAGTCTGCATCGTGCAGTCACTTCAATAAGTCTTTCACTGTTTGTTCTTGTTTAGACATGTTCCCCGGTATCCTTCAAAATTGTACAGTTTCATCATATGTTGGTGCCTGTATCTATATATGCAAATAGTAATATGCAGGTGTAGCCATTTTTTTCTTTTTATGTGGATGCTCTAAAGAGGTCAAGTATTTCATCATGTGCGTTTGGACATTCTTTTCCCTTAGGATGTGCATGATTTTGTCATTATCCTGCAGCAGATTATATGACTGCTTATTGCCTTATTGATTCACATTCACGTCTCCCATAATTTCTAGGTTTAAGCCTACGTCTTTGATGTGTTCGTATATATGCTAATGACCTTTTCAGTGATTAATTCACTTGCATTATTAGAAATGTCTCTGGAGATCCGTCTAAGGCTTTCATGGTTTTGTTGGCTCACAGGGTGTAGTGGTAGAGGGCACCCAGAATTTAGAGGACCCCATGGCTTGCCGCTTCAGCTGTGATTTGCAGTTTTGCTGACATAAAAAAAGTTGAACACTGTATCAGATGGGAGGAGCATGTTCTAGGAAGCGTGACCAGCAGGTCAATGATGAAAGTATACATAGAGGAGTTTCTGGACGATATTCCAAAAGTGCAAGTTCAAAATGGTTGGGAACATCATTTTCTAGAGGAGCAGATGCTAAACAGAGAAATGGAAAATACCCATCTCTCATGGAATTGTGTATTCGTAAAATCTGTGAAGTATGTCCTCCCTTTAGAATGCTTTACCAGGTGAATACATGACTGACCTCTATTTTGCGAACTGATTTCTCCTGCACTTTTTCTGCAGGACATTGATAAATACAATACCTTCTCTGTATTGCCTAGGGACATAAGTCAGCAGATCTTTGATGAATTGGTTGGCACACAGCGTCTTACCGATGTCTCTCTTGAAGCTTTTAGAGATTGTGCTCTTCAGGTATCTTCATGCCTATTCGTTAATAAAGTAGAACAAGTAGATAAGGGGTATTGTAGCAGCTGATTCATTTATGTGATTTTGAGGTCAGCCAAACTCTTGATGAAGTGATTTTTGCATTACAGGATCTTGATATGGGAGAATATCCTGGTCTAAACGACCAGTGGATGGATGTCATCTCTTCACAGGGTCCATCTCTACTTTCCCTAGATGTGTCCGCATCTGATGTCACAGATTCTGGACTGACTAATCTCAAAGATTGCAAAAATCTGCAAGCACTAAATCTTAATTATTGTGACCAGATTACGGACCGTGGAGTGGAAAATATAAGTGGTAAATATTCCTTTCCCTCTGATGTGCTGTCTTACTGGAGGAATGTATCTAAGTCATCTAAACATTCATAGCACATCTCCTTTAGGCTTTAGCAGTGTTGGGGATAGAAAAGGAAGAGAACAAATTTAAATGGCAATAAGTTAAAGAAGGAAGGCGTAGTCCTTGAACTGCTGGATGAACTGCGCTATAATATTTCCTAGTGAATCTAGTTTTGAAGGATAAACTTTGCAGGGGAAGTTTGTTTTTTGCCTTGTATTTTTCCATAGTAGTACTGGCTACCTTTTAAGCTGCATGATACATTGAACAAATTTCTCTAAAAACAATATATGGGGTTTTATTTAGGTTTGATTTTAAAGTTGTGTTTTCTTTGGAATTGTTCTATAGATAGAAGTTTCCTTTATTCATTTGGTTTTTTATTATCTGCTGTTTCTTTACAAATATAATAATATCTATTCAAATTTTTTGAGATACTATGATCCTTCAACCCCCCCCCCCCCCCCCC